GATACCTGCAGTGCATGTGCTATATTTTGGATGCTTTTGGTTGTCTGGGGTTCATCTACATCAATGCTGAGAATATATACAAGTGGCAACTTTAATCTTTATTTTCCTTTTATGGCAAACAATGAAAAATTGCCTGTTTCTGTCGGCCTGGCTTATCCTATAGTGCACTGTATATCTAGGTTCTAGAGCTGTAATAGTTGTATTGGTTCATATGGGGAGAGGCGGCCCTTGAGGTATTGTAGTCTTGAATCGTTTAAGGCTTTATAGGTCGAAATCAGAACTTGAATTCAGCCCAGAAACTAATTGGCAGCCAGTGCAGTCAGGCCAGGATGGGTGTAATATGCTCACGTTTACCACTGGCAAGCCAGGTGTTCCCCATCTTATGTTTGTGCAGCCTGCCTAAGTGTTAAACCTGACATTTGTCTCTATTGAAATTCATTTTGTTAGTTTTGGTGTTGTCTGCAGGTGTGTTGAGCATTCACTCAATTCCTTCATCCAAGTCTCTTATAAAGACGTTGTACAACAACGGGCCCAGGACAGAACCCTGTGTCACCTCACTTGCTACTTTTTTCCAGGATGCCAAGGAAATGTTAGTGAGCAATCTTTGGGTTAGGCCAGCCAGCGAGCTACAAATCCACCTAACAGTTACCTAGTCTAGTCCATATTTTACCAGCTTCTCCACAAAAATACCAGGGGGAATTTTTCAAAAGCCTGACTGAAATTGAGATACACTGCATCCATAGCATTCCCCTGATCCACTAAGCTTGTAATTGTACAAAAGGAAAAGAAAAGTAATTATATTCGTCTGGCATGACTTGTTTTTGAAAAACCCATGCTGGGTCTTAGTAATCACAACATCTTTCCCCAAGTGTTCACACACAAACTGTTTAATTGTCTGCTCTAGGACCTTCCCTGGTATTGATGTCAAGCTCACCAGTCAGTAGTTACCTGGATCTTCCTTTCCCCCCTTTTTGAAGATGGGGACAACATTTTCCTGTCTCCAGTCTGTAGGGACCTCACCTGTTCTTCAAGAATTCTCAAAGATCATAGACAACGGCTCTGAAATTGCACCCAAAAGCTCCTTTAGTACCCTTGGATGCAGCTCATCAGGCCATGGAGATTTGAATTCATTTAAAGTAGCTAGAAAGTTGAAAATGTGGATAGCCCCTTTATGCTCTCAAAAAATAGTAACAAAGACATAATTTTAGAATTGAATGTGCATGAAATGGCACCAGTCTCTTTAACCTCAACGATAGAAACATTCCAATTATGAGATTTCCTACAGACCCTTTTCTGCACTAGGTTGGCAGGGTACATTAGTGGGTCGGGATCTGTTTAGCTAGAGGGAAGTGGTGCAAAGCTAAGGAGCAATGTGGAAGTCAACTGCCGAGAAATTTCTAATCTCTACCACAGACTGGCTTGGAGGCTGTACCAGCAGAGTGGTGGGGATTAGTGCTGGTGATCTCCACCCACTTATCCTTTCTTATTGGCATACCTTGATGCTAATTTAGACCTGTGCAGTCTCTGGAGGGGTGCTGCATACTTCTTCTGAAAAATCTGTATGCCTGTATAGACAGAGCAAGGGGGAGAGGGAGCAAAAACCTTTAAAACCCAATTGCCCACTTCAGTGATTTCCAAGCTGCTATTATGTTTCTGACCACAGTAATTGGCGTTACTATTTACTAATGGCTTATGGTAAAGGGGGGAAAGAGACAAAAACCCAGCACCTCACTTTGTAGTTCTGGGCTGCTGAAGATTGCTTGCCGACTTTGAAATGTGTGTCAGTTGATATGATGCTCTATTCTTAATTTTTTTTATTTCAAAATATTTATATTTCACGTTTCCATATTAAGAGCTTGTCAGTGTTCTGACATCTCACCTTTGATAGCCTGTGAGGAGTGGAGCAGATTCTTATCATGGGCATCAGGTCAGGAACTTGGACCTTCAGTTGGACCTCAAGGGAACCTGCTAGCTGGTTGATAGACAGAAATAAATCACTTTCTTCTGGCTTTTAACCCTCCATCAACAGTGGGGCCAAGCACAATAACACTTTTTTTATTTTATTCCACAACTCCTTATTCCTGGTGAGCAATTAATTGCCATGTGATATTTTAGGGTTCTCCTCAGTTTAGTTAAAAATCTATGGCTTTACTCTTATGGTTGGCGGTTACAAATTTATCTCTGTTGGAATGACAGAGAAAATGAAGAACTATGCTTGTAAGGCGATGGGGTGAAACAGCCTTGTCAGATGCTCTTGATTCATTAGTTACTTGTCATGTCAACAGCTACTTACCTCAGAACCTATTCTGTCCATTTTGTGTGAGAAAAGCACGTATAGAGTGGGGAAAATTGAATGATAGTCATCAAATTTTACTCAGGGGAGACCTCTTGAAATCAATGGACGTAACATAGACATGTTCATGAATTTCAATGCGTCTATTCTGAGTAAAATATAGTTGAATACCACCCATTATTTTGACTATTTTCATATTGTGTGAATCATTCACTTTCCTTACCATTACCACAAATGACATTGGGGATCAATAGTACTCCACATGTTTACAAGAGCCTTGTACAAACCTGATTTTTTAAAAAGCATTTTTCTGCAGCTGAAACATTTCTTCTGACCCAGCAAAACAGTTTATTTTTTTAATCAAACTATCATTTCGTACAAAGTTTACTTATTGCTTTTGGGGTTACCGAGCCCCCAGATGGATCTGCATATGTTTGCAAGCACCTAGGACTCTTACTTTGACAAGTCGCAGACTTAATGACAGCTCTCAGTCAAGGACCTTGAGATGGCCACTTTCCTCTATTCACAAAAAGTTCTATGCGAAATGTGCTGTTAAGGGTTGCCCTCAACACTTCCAGACCAATATGTCACTGGCCTTCTTCAAAAGTCAGTTAAGGCCTAGGATTTGATGATCAGCTTCAATGCGGAGCAACCAGTGTGAGAGACAGGCTTCCCCCATGCAAAACCTGTGGGATGTTTACCAACACTCTCCCACAATGCTTTGTGCCATGTGAAAACATTAGAATTGACGAACAAGTGGTGCCATTCCAAGGAGGACATCCAATGAGACAGTATATGCCATCTAAGCCAGCGAAGGATGACATCAAGTCCATAAACTTTATTATGTTTATGATATATATGTGTGAAAAGAAGGGTTTCTCAGCAGCATAAAACCTAGACCAGATAGTGTCAGAGAAACTAATATCACATTTATAGGGTTCTAGGCTGTTCTGTGCCACAGTCCAGGGAATTAGCTAAGAAAAAACTAACTCTGGTTGGCACATGGAAGGAAGGAAGGAAGGAAGGAAGGAAGGAAGGAAGGAAGGAAGGAAGCCCACCCACCCACCCACCAACCAACCAACCAACCAACCAACCAGAGAGTCCTTGAATTCCTTGCCCACAAATCCTGAAGCGTCAACAGCAACATTGTTGGTTTTCAAGAAGATCTAACACCTGTAAGCTAGATGCCATGGAAAGGAAGAACAGTGATTCTCTTTTCTTCAAAGCGTAGTGCAGCGATCTCAGGGCCCTCTCTACTGGTGTTTTGTTGGTTTTTTTGCCAAGTGTATTCTGCAGTATGTCATAGTGTTAGACCATGCTCATTATTTATTGTTCTGCAGAATTTCCTTGATGTTGCCACATTAATTGCCTTCTAAAGGGCGCTCTTACACTATAGTGCAACAGAAGAAAAGCAGGGTGGAGTGGGAAGCAGAACAGCAACAAAAGAACCAGGACACGTTCAGTCTGAAAAGTTGCAGGATTTCAGCAAGAAGCTATGGGACTTGGGGTGAGACTGGGGAGTTGCTGCTTTTGCGTTTGTGTGTGATTACTGTAAATATGTTTATGAAGCCACTCCAAGAGACAATCTTCTGATCCAGATGTCCAACTGAAAAGGGTAGTTGGACACTTACTACACTACAAAAATGGGGGATGAAGCAGCCGTTACGACTGCAGTTGCACTGATATCTTTAGCTTTGTACTTCGTTCAACCTGCCTAAGGAGCTCTAAGAGCTTTTAATGTAATAATTCTGACTATGTGCTGCAGTAATCTTCCTACATAGGCAACATGGATCAGCACTAACAGTGCAGCAAATTGGAGAAAGGTATTACATTGGTTCACACGATGTGCTCAGCCAAACATTGGCTTAGCAAGACCACACAGAGTTGTGGGCTCTTAAGAGGCAGTTGCAGCCCCTTTGTTCCTCCCTAGTCCTGATTGTTGCTGAGTTGCTCTAAGCAGGTATCCAAAGCTTTGGCTTAGCATGTTGTCTGAACTGGAGCTTGTGGTTACACTCTCTCCTCACTAACCATCAGTTTTAGCCAATATGTGCTCTTGGTTTCAGCTCGTAGTTAGTGAGGAGAGAACTGAACCACAAGTTCTTGTTTGTATGATATGCAGCAAGGCAGCAAAAAGGACAGGAGGAACCTAGTGACTGAGTGCAACTCTCTGGGAGTCCACATGTTTGTGCAGTCTTGCAAAGCAAAGGTTTGGCTTAGCACGTCATGTGAGCCAGTTCATTATGTATGTAGGTGTAGGATGGTTTGTCTTGAAATAGATTTTGCAGAAAAATGCTCTTCCCTTCCTTCATTTAAAGAAAATGGCTTAGGGAGCTGGGAAGCATCTGTTTATACTGGCATTGTCATGATGGGAGGCATTTAGTTTTTCTGGTTATATTACTATCTTGAGACTATAAACTTGAATAATGTTTAGAGTTGCACTAGAGCTCGTGTTAAAAGAACACCTTTCCATGTTTCCTAGTCCAATGCCTTGACTTGAACTGCAGCCCCATTGCAGACTCTATTCCAGCTTGTGCACTTTGCTTTTTACTGCTGTGGTTTCAGGGCATGGAAGTTCATGCATTACATCTCTCAAATGTTTCGGCATCTGGCCTCTGTGTATTTCATCTGCTTGTGGTCACACAAATATTTAGTAATGGTACAAAGAGGATGGCTAATAATGTTTTGTTTTTTCTTTCTTGATTGACAGTTCATTTGTGACTGGAACAGCTTGCTGTGGACATACCTCACCTTTGAGAATCTGGGACTTGGGGAGGTAAGACTCTCTTACAGTTGTGGCAGTGAATAGAAAAATCTGCCTGTGGGATGAATACTTGTGAAAACTTTCTAAGACCTGACTGTAGTTGAAAATTAATGTGTACCATTAACTCAGAAGTAGCCAAGACTTGAAGTCATCTAGTTCAGCTTAGTCATTGATCTCTGGACCAAAATCTTGCATCAGAGATGTTTGTATACTTCTTTGCACACACACACCAATGCATATATTTTCATACTTTGTCTATGCAAATTCTTCTATTGAACAGAGTTTTGTTTTTTAAAAAAGTAATTTGGGCTTGTTTCCAAATTTTGATTCTCATCTGTCTTCTAGCGACTTATGCCCATTTCTTTTTGTGTTTTATTGACAAGGTAGGACAATTGACTTTAGCCTTGCATTTTCCTTCTTGCTAGAGATTAGATTATCTATTCCTGGATTCATTTTTTTAATTGGTAATCATTTAGCCTTTGAAACCAGTGAGAATTCCAGAACTCCACCACTCATTTACAGCAATAAAATTCAAACGTAATATAAGGCCAAGGCAAATAAAAAAAGGATTTCACCTGGCACTGCAAACAAATATGGCACTGGAATCGATGAAAGCCACAAGTGAAAAGGCCCTATCTCTGGTCAACAGCATCTTACTTATTTCAGGTGGGAGAATTTGAATCAGGACCTCAGAGACCGATGTTTATGTCCAGGCAGGTCCAGGTAGATACCCTGGTCTCAAGCCAGTTAGGTTAAAACCAGCACTTCAAATTGTGTTTGGAAAAGGACTGGTAGACTATGCTTATGATAATATTTTATTCTCTTGCTAATTATGCTCTTTGAAGCATGCAATTTATATCTGACTTCCTTTAGTAATATTTTCTTTTGAAATGCTTAAGATTTTGTTGTTGTTATCTTTGCTACACTGAATGTGCATTCTGTAGTTCAACCCCCTTCATAATGTTTTATTTTGAAATATTTAAGATAATATTTTAGTTTCCTGTTAACTATGTTGCTTTGGACTTTCTTCTGTAATGTTTTATTCTGGATTGTTTTATTTGATGTTTTAGTGCAGGTTGTAAAAGGCTTTGAGATTTTTTTCTTTAAAATATAAAGCAGTATATAAATGAAGTGAATAATTAATAATAATAATAATAATAATAATAATAATAATAATAATAGACCGCACAGCTCTTTAAATACTGACATGGTATGTTCTGTATTTTGGGTCCCAGTTAATACAAGTATAGCTGTATTTTGAACTAACTGTAGCTTCTGAACAGAACTCACTGGTATACATGGGTATTGGCATCCTCACTGCTATAGTCTAAACACTGTTCTTTATTTATAAGGTTGTCGCCCTTCAGAAGAAAAACTCCCAGGTGGGAACTACTTTCACAGTGATTACTTCCACATTCAGGTCACAATTGATAAGATACAGAGTAAAGAATGTATTTAATAAACAGTTAGATGGACCTGGGAGGATCTGACACAAACAACTCACTCTATAAGTTTGGGCATGGTGTTTTTGCCTCATTGCCTCTTTGCCTCATTTCACCATCTGTAAATTTGTGTCCTGCCTTGCTAGATTTAACCCCTTTTGCAATTCTTCCAGTCTGCCAGAGCAGTGCTGATAATAAGATTTGTTGTTATGTTGTTCAATAAAATAGCAATGTGGGTTTGCTGATTAACAGTCTCTGTGCTTGGTGAATTACGTGTAATGTGGTTCCTGTGCTTAGACTACAGGAAGAATGAGGGCTGCTTTGGCTTTTTCTGTCCCCATCCTCCTTGCCCATGAACTTCTCCTGGCTTACCTCAAATAGAAGCAGCACCGAGGAGCAAGTGAGGAGTGGCTGTGTCACCTTTTCTGCCTTTCCCAAGGAAGCCTCTAGAGATAATAAAGCTATGTAGAAAATAGGATTAAGGTAATGAACGGGCAGGATGGAGTTTGATCTTTCAATAAGGCAAAAGCCTGACTGACAGGCAGAGCTAAAGCCTGGAACCATCCAACCAATGGGAAACTACCTACAGTGGCTGCTGAGTGTCACGGATTCCTCCCTTTTCACTTGTTTTTAGTGGAATGCACTGTGCCACTGGGCTGCCCATCTCAGGCCGCACATGGAGGGAGGAGCAAACGTCTACACAATTTGGGTCTCTCACATATACAGGTTAATCGGAAGACTGTAGTTGGTTGGGCAACTTCTCACGAGAAGTGGTAGTTGGTGAAATTTGGGCAATTATGGAGGAGAAGGACCAGCAGTGTTTCTCCCTACTGGTATTTTAATTTTTGTTCTGTCACTGCATTGCTTTTTCCAGCCAAGGGTTATTTTTTGTGAGTTTGTGTTCTCTTCTGGACCCACCAGTGTAGCTAGCCCTCACACTGTCCAAAAGAGTCACTGCTGAATACCTGCAAGTCCATCAATACTTCTGTAACTTACTTCAGGGGTGTCCAAACTTTTTTCCAAGAGGGCCAGATCTGATGAAGTGAACATGCGGCTGACCAAAGTTGTTGAGCTTTTTTAAGGATTTTACCCCAGGAAATAAACTGCTACAGTGGGCCAGATTAGGCCCCCGAAACAGACTTTGGACATGCCTGGCTTACTTGCACTCTGGAATGCTATATGTAGTAAGCAAACAATTGATAGATTCCCCCTCCCAACTCATTTTGTGTAGCTTAAGTGTTTGAATATTTTCTTTATTATCTATAGCCCTCCCGCTCCTGGCTCATTTGCCACCTCAGTACTGGACCTCCCTCCCCCCCTTCTTTCCTCCCTCCCTCTCCAAACAGCCTTGTGCTTCTTCACAATTTTAATCTTTCAAGTGTCATGTTTTCTCTTTCCTTCCTCTGCTGCTCCTATCAATATTCTGTAACCTTCTTGCCCATTCAGCTGCACATCTCTTTGTCACATACCTCTCCCTATATCTTTCCCCCACTCTTGCTGACAAGTCCCTTGTACCTCCTTTTTCTGCTTTGGCAGTTCTAGGTAGATAAACATATGTCTGTGCAGTAGCACATTCTCTATTTCGTATTCAAGTCTCTCTCCTTTGCCCTCACGGGGCCACAGGACACTGTTGTATTGCTGATCATTGTGATCCAGCTGCAGAGCTTTACTAAAGATCCCAGAACTGAGACCAAGGAAGCAGGCACATTCCAGGCTGACCCCTCTCTTTCCCCTCTAATCTAATGTTGGCTTGACTGTGGCCAAATGGATTCTGCTACCTTAGTAGTTGTTTCTTTCCAAAGCCCTTTTGCTGCTCATCTTTTAGCTGAACTATGGTGGTCCATTTGGGTGTTGTTTTCCCAGAAAGATGTTTGGGTGCCTCTCTTTCTGGTGCATTGGCTCAAGAAGTTGGAGCATGCCACAGAATTACACCAAAGGTGTGGTTTCTGTTTGTGACTTTACTTGGTTGGTGATGGGATGACCTTTGCTTTTTTCCCTGACCCTGTGTTTCTAACACTTGGGATGTGTGAAAAGCTATGCCATGCTGCTTGGACACCAAACATAGCACAGAATCTTAGTGGAGCTTGGAGGGCTCCCACCCTCAGGGGGATGGGAAACAGATGCTGCTTCTGAATGTTTCTATTTACCCATGCAGCTCACCGCTTTTGGGACTATGCTGCAGTGGTAGTACGCTGGACTATGTGTTCAGATCCATATTTCTGCCCCCACCTCTGCTACTGACATCTGTGTAAAATGTTTGCCATTGTCACTTGTTCTGGGTCCACTTTCTCTTATCTTCTCTACAGGAAAGCAAAATAGGGATATTGCCCAGAAAAATCTGGGTGATATGTTTAGATAGCTGTTTGTTTGGCCTAGGTAAAATCAGCAGCTTGCTATAAATATCCAGTATTGCAACAGAACTGTTCTAAACTTTTTTATTGTGGCCTCAGTACTATAAAAGTCCTGGTTACTGTCCCCAAGGAGGGAAATATGTGTCAGGTACACAAAATGCATTCTGGAGGAAAGTAAATAAAGAAGATTGGTATTTTTCAAAAGGCTCAAGGAGATGCCTGCATGATGATTGGTGGCCAATAGGGAACAGGGAAATAAAGCTTGCTTGTGCTTTAAAACTGTTGGACAAACTTCGGGTACTTTCTCCTTCTAGTGTTATTTAAAACAGTAAATAACACTTTTGATGCTATTCACAGTTGGTTCCTGAATCCCGCTATCACTGGATATAATAATGCACACAAACCAACAATAATCTGACAAAGTCATGAATGGCAGTATTGATGACAATGCACCCTCTGCAAGGTGTCTTTAAGCAGAAGGTGGAGGTGAAAAGAAGGGCATGGATAATGAGTGTGTGAACATGTGTGTATATGCATGTGCATACACTTGCATACACCTGCTTTTCTTCTTCGAGTGAATAACTGAACTGGCTACTGTTGAGTCCTGGGCTGGATGGACCATTCACCTGATCCAATGAGACTTTTCTTGCGCTCTAACATGCTCCTTGATCCCACAAGCTTGCAGAGACCCTGTGAACACTGGTCATAATTAGCTGTACTATTTCCAAACATTCTTCCCTCTTATAAATAATCTTTTTTTTTTTAAAGTACTTGTGACAGCTTTTTTTAAGGAACCCTCTAATTTTTCCTCTTCAGTTCTCGATCTTTTTAACTCTTTGAAATTGGCTTCATGCCATCTCTGACACCAAACTGACACCTTTGCCTTTCCCCACTTCTTATCCCTTTATAGCAACAGATGTTGAAATTTTGTATCCCTTTTATCTGCCCCTCTTTAACCTCTTCCTGTAATTAGGTTCCCCTTGTTAGCAGTACAAAGTGGGTTGGTCCGCTACCTAGCCTGCCTTTTGAGCTATTGTGTCTGAGCACATGTGGTTTTGGGTTATTTGGAAAAGTTCCTTCCCCCTTAGGTAATAGCGGTGGGCGGATGGACAAAGATTGTGGCTTTCTTCTTCTTCTTCTTCATTTATCTTTGCCAAGGAAGAAGAAGAAAGGGAGGAGGGGTAGGGAGCACATGTGAAGCGAAAGCCACAGACCTTCA